GCTTTATATTCAAGGATCCTGAAAAGTATAAAATAATAATATGACTTCAATTTAAATATATTTTTATTAACATGAACGTTGCCCAATCAAAAACGACATACTTCGCTTTTACAATTTTCTCAAAAAAATGAGAATTTCATAATTTAATCATTAATATAATTTTTACAGGAGAGTATCTGGGTTTTGTTGCAAACGAGGCTGTGCAATAAAATAGTAACTAATATTAAAATTAAAGTTGGAATACCATCTTAAACGGGTTAAATTATTATGTAAATAATAAAAATTTAATTTTGACGGACATGCAGCTTCATATTTTTTACTAATTACTTATTGATTCAACAGATTACATATTGATTTATTTGTTCAAGTAAGAGTTTGATTTTTATTCAACAATAAATTTATCATCACAACTTATTAACGTTATTGGAGCGAAAGTGCTTACTTTAGGAATATTTTAATTCGAGTAAATGATTCAAATCGATTTCAATAAATCTGATTGTGTGATTGTGTGATTTGTGAATTTAATCATTATTTTTTTCAATCAAACATGTAAGCAAAATTGAGTTCATTAATATAATAATCAAAGTTATAGAGTTATCACGTTTTACTGTTTTATAAATTTTTTGAAAATAGAATCCATATTATGTAAAGCCCGGCACAAAACATGTCATCCATGAACGACAACCGTACACGCAGTATGTCGTAAATGGACGACACTCGTATATAAGGGTCATAGACGGAATGTCGTCCATGGATGACATAAGTAGCGAAAGAATTATCAACTTGATAACTTTGAAAAAGTTTGAAAAAATCTGATTATTTGATTCGATTTTGAAATCAAATATTTGAGTCGTATCATAAACTTCGACTCGTATTCGAATCACTTGATCGAATCGATTCGATTCAATCAATTTTATAATTGATGATAAATTTGTTCTCAACGATTGTTAGGAAAAATTTTTTTTTGCATTTATGTAAAATGCTGGAGAAAAGTAATAATATAATAATTCTCATATGTGCACATTTTTATATCATCGAAGTTCTATATACAATTTTTACATTATATTTTCATCTAAAAAAATAAATGTAAGTTACTATTTCATTGCATCTTTCATTTGTGGGTTTATATATTGTGAATTTAGGACTTAGTTTGATTTTCTACTCAATCCTAAAATCTATGTGTGTATTTGTGTGTCAGTGAATGTTTATTTATTTATATTTTATTTAACTATATATAGTTGTACAGTGCCATTTTTCTGTTCTTTACATGTATTTTGTTCGTATATATAAGTACTTATATATTATTGTTTATGTATATGTATTTATAGTTATATTTACTAATTCACGAAACTCTATTTTAATATGTAAAGAAAACATTTCGATTTATTTAGGATTAGTTTTGTTACAAATTAAGAAGTTTGAAAAAAGTTTTGTAAAGAGTCTTTCACATAGATATGCATAGAAGGGCAAAATTCGGCGCCGTGATTTTGGTATATATAGATTTGTTTTCGTATATTATTTTTATGTACTCATCATTTTTCTCAAGTTTTTAGAAACAATATCGAAAAAATAAATTCAATTATATTTGTGAAATATTTTATCTCAACTTTGCCAGATTAATTTTTAACTGATTTTTAGTAATGAAGCCCGTAGATATTTTAAAGCAATTTGAGAATAAACGGAGATTTGCATTAAAAGTTATATATTTTGATTCTGTATATTATGAATCTAATTGACTAATGATAATTGATCAAAAATGTACAAAAAAAATTCTTTTAAACATCACTGCAAGTTAGACATTCACAGACAGCATAAAAAAATCTATATATTTTTTTAAATGCGCTTTTGCTTCATAAATTTATAAAAATTGTATTAAATTAAGAGAAAACTACTTTTTAAAACAAAATAATTGCAAAATGTGTTATTTCTTTTATTAATGAGATCAGGACGAAAAAAATGAGTTATACGTATATTTTTACTTTATCTGATTCTACAAGCGTTTTTCTTTATCAACGAATTTATATTTCTTATTTCATTTTGTGTTTATTTTTAGTTTTTAATTTATATAAGTACTTCAAAATATCTACTACTCATTCTACTATTTTTGTATCAAATGCAATCCATCAGTATTTGTAAAATTTCTTTTTGCGCAATTTTTAAAAAATGTTTACCATGCCTAAATTTTTTTCTTTTAAGTGATTGAAGTTGCAGCATCTACATTTTTAAAAGTTTCAAAGTATAATTTTAAGCGTATAATAATTTTAAATATAATAATAATGTTTGATTATTCTAATTTTTTTTAAAGTGAATTATTTATTCTATCATAATTCATTGTTTCAGAAAATTAAATACGGATACTTGAATATTATGTTAACTGCAATTGATTTGCTTCCTGCGCTGCAAAAGAAATTTTATAAAATTTCTGGATTTTTTGTTTCAAAAATCAACGTATTTTCAACGTTTTTATTAAGGATAAATAATTGATGGTTGTACTGTTTAATCAATTTCCGCGAAAAAAGATATAATATTTTCTAACAATAATAATTTTATATGTACAATTATAATACAATTATTTACGAAATTATCTTAACCTTCATTTATCTAAATCATATACGATAGAAAACTGTATATAACTCTAAACCACTCAAATCAATTTAAATTTGTTTCTATAAATTATATTTTGAACTACAACTACTTAACATTAATTTATATATCATATAATACACTTAGGACTATTACATGATAAAATTGTAATGACTAATGTAAATCGTAACTAGAGGAATAATATCTCATTCTAGAGAAAACGAAAAAGTTATGGGTCGATCAGGTTATAGTTTGGCATGACATGTTTGCCTGAATGTTTCCATTTTAAAAAATATTTAAAACGTTAACTCTGGCGGTTGGAGTTAAATGTTTGTGTCGTCGGTTTATCCGTAACGCGATTTGTAATATTTTTTTTGAGTATGTTGAAACACCCTGTTACAGAGTGTTACCAGAAATATTTATAAGAAAATGTCAAACTAAATGTAAATGACTTGTGTGAGAAATTAGTTATATTGTGTACTATTTTACATAATTTACAAATATTTTTGTTATTGATAATGTATCCACCAAACTTATATATTTTCGATCGTCTAATCTTTTTTGCTAATTCTATATTTTATTGTATTATAAGAATACACACAATTGTCTTCTAGTCATTACAATTTTATTTTGCAATTTTGTCCATAAATTTATATTAAAAATAAATATATATATATTTTATAAAAAATCATAGAATCTATTCATAGTATAATAATCATGTTCAATCATTAACTAATTACCACAATCTTTAGGCTAGTACTATATTAGAAATATCAATATCATAACTAATCAAAAATAAAAAATCCCAGCTTTGTTTAACTATTTAAGAGATGATGCCTTTGAAACTTATCATTTTAACATTTAACTATAAATTAACTAATAAAGAGGCATCAGCAGTCATTTCACCTCATGGGATATGTCACAGATTTTCTTAAACCAAAACGCAAAAAATTCTAATCTATTTTAGTACAAAATCTAAAACGTCAAACATTCAAACTTATCATTATTTCATAGAATGTTTCTTAATCATCTTTAATCATGGAAATTGGCTTGCCTTTATCTAATGGTGTTATTTATGCCGCATTCTACAAAACTTCAGTAAAATCACCAGGAAATATTAGGATTATTACCAATTAGTTTTATGATACATCATGTACAATTTGGTTTGACTAAAGATTTGAAAATTACGCGTTAAATTTTAGATAGATTAGATAATTATTTTACGGGATTTAATTTAATTCAAAATTTGTGCATATTTTAGGATAATTACATTTTGGATATTGAACCATATAATTTGGGAATTCAAACTATAAACTATTGGAAAATAACTGTGATTCCAAATCCAAAAGCTTTTTAAAATAGTGCAAGTAGGATTTTCCGAAATTTGAATACTAACTTTTGAAAGTCGAGAAGAGAAGAAGGATTAATTTAAGTAATCGTTACCTTTGAGGACATTTTTAATTCGTATAAGTTTAATTATTTGGCCAAAGGAGATTCAAAATTTTCTTGAATGAACTGTTACAAAAATACATTTATTTTAGTTAAATACACATTCACAGGTCTGTTTAATTAACACAAAGATTACCCTTATTAATTCGAATAAATTAGTTATAATAAATTTCAAATTTTCATTGGCCAAATTTAGGATTTATCTCCAAAATTCTATAGGAATTAAATTTACCTAAAATTTTCCTAAATTACCACTGTTGAAATAATCATTAATCTTGCTTGCGAAACAATTTAATTTTGATAAATATTTATTTATTGCTTCCGTTCTTTGAAAATGTTTATGAGATCTAAATTTAGACGTTATTTAAAGCATTTTATTTTTTTACAATACCTCAGTCCTGCATATAGTATATTAAATATTATAATTATGATTATTTATAACATTTTACAACAACATAATGAAATTTTCATTAAAGTTATCACTTTTTTAGGATATAGATGGCCCAAAATCTCTGCAAGACCACTAATATTTTTTAAGTTAAGATTTTATTTGTCAGCTTTATTTTTTTTTTAAATTTTAGTATTATATTTTAGTCTTTAGAGTGGTGATCAACAACAAACAAGTGAGTATGAGTCCTTATTTTTAATTAAAGACTATAGTGTGACTTCACTTGGATATGAAGCAATACAAATAAAAAGAATAGTAATTGTAATTATTCAGATCATATTTCTATCGTTTTATCGATAGATCATAATTGATTTTGTTTGCTAATTTGGCATACTTTCATTCGAGTTGAATAAACTCAATATAATTGTCCAGATAATTTTCTATACTTAACTATACCCAAAAATGTTTAAATCAGCCTGAAGTCACACGGTCTTACTGTCTAATTAATTGCAAAATTTGTTTTGTCCTATTTCGCTTGTTATTTACCTTTACATAAACACTTCACACTGTCACGTTTTATTTACACGTACCATTCTTTAACATCTTTTGAATCGCGTTTTTTAGCAACCGGTTTCTGCAAATCGCAACCGTTCCTCACTCCTCCATTGAGGGGTAATGTAGGGGCCGTGGCATAACTGACCGGCTGGACAGGCCCGGGCTGGTTTGCCAGCAGAGGTCCTTGCTGGAAGCATTTTTCATCATCTACTTTATAACTTCTCTCGTTGTTATTTTTGAACCTTAGGAGTATAATTATAATAACCAAAATTACTGCAATAAGAGCACCAGCTACTATGCCTATAACAGTGGCAACATGTTCTGATGTTTCGGACACAATTCTATCTTTCTTTTTATTTTTAGGTGTCCTGGCAGTGGGATAATACGGTGGTGGTTGTGGGAAGTAAGGTAAATCCACTTCGTTATCTTCTAAATGCGGTCCAACAGTACTTGCTGGCTCTATAAAGTCTTCGTGGATATAGTCTAAAGTGCTGGTTGTCGGTTGCATTTCCGTGTGAGGTCTGTATACATTATTGTTTCTGTTATATTGGTTATTCGTGGTGCTTTGGTGCCATGTATCGGTTGTGGTACCACCAGTAGAGATATTTCCAAGTCTTGTTTTGGACTGAAGGACGATTGTGTGATTTGATTCGTGGTGGAAGATGATGGTTGTTCTTGCGTTGTTGTTGATGACGGATACTGAAAACCTATAGTTGATGGATGGTGATCTTCTTCAATAGTAGTTGTGTAAGCGGGAATCAAATCTGATGAAAATAAATGTTTGATGTTAAAATTACAATATAAGTATTATTAATTAATAATTACTAATAAAGAACTTTTATTTTGTACCTGTTCCTCCGCCTGCTGCAGCTCCTCCACCCGCACTCTGCGAGGTGACTTCTCCTGCTCCACTGCCTTGCAGACAATCTTC